TTTTTTTTTTTTTTTTTTTTTTTTTAAATTGAATTAAATAGTACTAAAAAGACATGTAGGCAAGGTTCTAGGATTTCTAGTGCATGCTCTACAGTAAAATCCTTGACCAGCTAATGACTCAAGCAGGCTCCCTGCCAGAATGTCACTTATAAAGAAACTTTTTACTTCCACTTCACTGGTTCAGGAGCACAGCCTCCTCCTTCACCACATTCATGACTGAATAAATGTTTTTTTTGCAGTGTGCTCTTGAGGCTACTGAAGCCAGGTTATTTGCAACACTATTTTGGTTATGCTTAAAAACCTTCTTGCAGCTAAACATATGCCGAATAAAGATGATTTAGAAAGAAGTAGTATATCCTTTAAAGACAGTGTTTTGTCATTTTTTTAAAGTTAAATTCTTCTGGATGTTACACTCCTGCTAGAGAAAGATAGCAACTCAGCAGCCATGCATTGCCTGCAGATGTTATACTTAAGCCTTAGCTCATTACCACTGACATTTTGTTTGAGGAAATTACCTTTCAAAAGGTTGTAAGATAGGGCTGTCAGCCATTGTCAGACATAGGAACTTGAACAAGTTAGCAAAGAATTCTTGGAATGCTTAAGGGAATAAAAAAAATTACATACTAAAATGTGTTTGACATTCACATTTTCTGCTTTAGCTTATCTTGAAAAATATCCAGATAGTCATTTCAGCATACTCACCTCAGCTAGGTAAAATTCATCATATTGTCTCTTAAAATTTTCTCCTTTGTAGTAGTTACTAGCAGCAACAATCACATCTACAGCCACCATGCTTAGTATGAACATATGAAACACGGATGACCTCATCATTTTCTGCAAAAGAAAAAGAAAATTTTATCATCAAAATGAGTTAAACCACATGCATTATAAAGTTCTATTACACTGTCAAAACATAATCAGCTATAATAATATGTTTTTATAAAGCTTCTTTACATGATTGTAATGTATTACTCTTTAAAAGGTATTCTAATATATTGCCTCAACTGGTTTATATCTGCAACTTGGGGTTTTTTTTGTTTACTTTTCAGTTTTTTATTTGCCAGTTGACTACTTATACTGAAGGTTTATCATTTAATATGATATCCATTGCTTTAGTATGGCTTTAAAGCATTAACTGTACTTTTAACTACTCAGTTGCCCTTGGTTAGTACTCCTTCATTAGGATTTATTCATGCAGATCTTAATGACTTATTGTTCAGGAACAAGTAGCATCAATTATATCTTGTGCATTACTTTTGCTCGAGAAAGACAAGTAATATAGGATTCATCTGATGTCAAACTATCACTTAAAAGTATAAAACATACCTACATATAATAGATATGCACATCTCAGCCAATACACTGTGAAGTACTTCACAGAAAATTCACGTATCTGTGCAGTTTGTGCTCTGTGTCACCACTGCTACAATCCCACAGGAGAAAAGAGGAATGGAGGCACGCAGCACTGAACAGGAGTTTACATCCATAAGCTACCAAAACAGTAGTGATAAGAGGTATGCCAGAAGTTCAAAGAACTAAATTCTAGGCCCCCACTACAGAGCATGGACTTATGATATACCCTGAAAACTTAACCAGTACCCTTACTGGGCCAGCCACAGCTGTTCCAGTAGAAGCTTGAGTCAAACAGTCAGAGTGTAGTGTTATTTTACATTAAACTGTCTTTGAATAAATGGTCACTAATACCTATATTTTTTACAATCTTTCACAAGCAATACAGTTTATGTCTTTAGTGCTTATTTCCAAACACAACGTAAGTTCTGCACCATTATGGTTCCTTGTGTTTGTGTGTAAATTTAAGTTACGTTCACATTGGAAAAGGCCATTTTTATTTGCTCCTGAGTTTATATGTAAAAGTGCCTGACAAAATTTCAGAAAAAAATGAAACTAAAAATACAGAAGTCTGTCTCTTAACTTCATCCTAAAGACTCCGTGTGCCTGTACTGGTTTATATTCACAGAATCACATAATTATTTAGATTGGAAAGGACCTCTTGATATTATCTAGTCTAGTCCTGCCTGCTCAAGCAGAGTCAACTACAGCAGGTATTCCAGGACTGTGTCCAGTCAGGGTTTGAGTATCTCGACAGATAAAGACTCCACTAGATAATGTGCCAGTCGGAGACAGAAGAAAATAAGATCACAGAATCTCTGAGATTAGGAGGGGCCTCCTGAGATCATCTAGTTCAACCTCTCTGCTCAAAGTAGTCACCTAGAGAAGGTTGCCCAGGATCACATCCAGTTAGGTTTTGAGTACCTCCAAGGATGGAAACTCTACAACCTGCCTGGGAAACCTCATCCTGTGTTTTTACAGTGAAAAAGTTTTTTCTCATGTTTAAGTGAAATTTCTCCTTGTTTCAGTTTGTGCCCATTGCTTCTTATCCTACCATGGGGCACTATTGAGAAGAGCCTGGCTCCATGTTCTTTATTTCCTCCCATCAGGTATTTTTCCATATGGATAAGATCTCCTCCCGAGCTTTATTTTCTCCAGGCTAAACAGTTGCAGCTTTCTCAGTCTTTCCTCATATGAATGATGCTCCAGCCCCTTTATCAGCTTCTGTGGCCCTCTGCTAGACTCAGACCAGTATGTCCACATCTTTCCTGTACTGAGGAGCCCAAAACTGGATACAACACTCCAGATGGCCTTACCAGGCCTGAGTAGAGGGGGATCACCTCCCCCAGTCTGCTGGCAATGCTCTTCCTAATTCTGCCCAGAGAGTTGTTGGCCTTCTTTGCCTCAAGAGCACATGACTGGCTCATGTTCAGCTTGTTGTCCACCTGGACCCCCAGGCCTTTTCTCCTAAACTGCAGCTGGTTGGTGCCAAGCCATGCACTGGTGCATGCAGCTACTCCTTCTTCAGTGTAGGAGGACTTTGCTTTTCCCTTTGTTGAACATCACGAGTTCCTCTGTGGTCAGTTCCCTAGCCTACCAAGCTCCCTCTGAATGGCAGCACAACTGTCTGGTGTATCAGCCATTTCTCCCAGTTTTCTATTATATGCAAACTGTTGAAGGTACACTCTGTGCCATCATCCAGATCATTAAAGAGGGTATTGATGAATCACAAATGGCCTTGCAATAACATTGGCCAGCTCCCTCAGCAGTCATGGGTGCATCCCATCAGATTCCATAGACATCTGTATGCTCAGTTTATTTAAATGTTTCTTAACCCCATCCTCTTCCAGCAAGAGGAAGTCATCATGGCTCTGAAGTTTCTCATGAGTCTCAGGGGCTTGGGATTCCTGAAGGTCAGTCTTACTGATCAAGATGGAGGTGAAAAAGGCATTAAGTACCTCGACCATTTCCATGTCACCAGGTCCCCTAATCCATTCAATAGCAGGCTCACATTTTTCCTAGTCTTACTTTCACTGCTCTTCTATCTGTAGAAGTCCTTGTTGCCATCCATGCCCCTTGGCAGATTCAACTCCATGTGGCCGTTGGCTTTCCTAACCCTATCCCTCCACTCTCAGACAGAATCTTTCTATTCCTCCTGGGACACCTGGCCCTGATTCCAGCTCTTGTATGCTTCCTTTTTATTTTTGAGTTTTGTCCAGAGCTACTTGTTCATCCATGTGGGCCTCCTGCCACATTTGATTGATTTCCTGCACTTGGAAGGGGACCATTTTTGAGCTTGGAGGAGGAGATCCTTGAAAATCAACCAGTTCTTCTGGACCCTCTTATCTCTAGGACTGTACCTCATGGGATTCTTCCAAGCAGATACCCGAACATGAAAAATCTGCTCTCCTGAACACCGGAGTTGTGATCCTGTCTTTTGGCTTTGTTCCCTCCTTGCATGATCCTGAACTCCACAATCTCATGGTTATTGCAACCAAGACTGTCCCTGAATCTCAAAACCTGGCCAGCTCCTCCTCGCTTGTAAGTATGAGGTCCAGCCAGAATACCTGCCCTCATCAGCTCACATGTGTTAAGAATGTTACCATCACTGCAATCCAGAAATCTGGACTGTTTCCTGCTTTGCCACCCTTATAGCAGATATCAGAGTGGTTAAATTGCCCCAGGAGAACTAAGGCCTGTGAATGTGAAGATATAGAAGAATGCAAAAATTAAGTAACACACATTTTTTACATTTGTAAAGATGTATTAATGTGCTAGAAGATTCATACACACAGTTGCAAAATAGTTGTCTTTAGTGAGCTAGGTTGTTACACTGATAAAGAGTTGTCCACATTTACATTTTATGTTTAACCCTGCCTGGTACTCAGGGTCTTGACCAAGCTACTCCTCATACTACTGGGTTTTTTTTGTGATCAAATTAGAACACAATATGGTATGTATGGGAGGCTGCAAGGACTAGCACTTGTCTAGCAAAGGACTAGCAGCTTGCCTTTAGCAAAGACTTGTACCTGCCTACAGGAGAATTCATCCCCTGTTGAATTCCACTGGCGTTTTAAGGTAGTTTGCTTAAATTGAAGCTGAGTGGAGACCAAGCACATATTTACAAGCATTCAGCTACTAGGACTGCCTCTTGTCTCTTAACATCTGGACTTCTTATGCGAATCACTGATAGCACTGGAGACAGAAGACAGATCAACCCTCCGCATGCAAGCTGGCTTCCTTTTGATCCTAGTGGCATAAAATGGTTGTATATTCCAATCCAGAAAGGGAGGCTTCAGAGATAAAGCCTGACAGTCAGAAATTTACGGAACAAGCCAGGGCTAATAACAATGCCTAAAGTGCAATGAAGTCACCAAAACAGAGTAGCTAAATGAGGTCTTGCTTTTATTTTTAATCCACAAGACAAGCTATAAGAATACAATAATTAAAGACAGGGCTACTGGCATCGATCATGCATTTTTGTCACTGGTCTATACCCTTAATGCTCCGCTTCTCTAAGAAGTATTTGAGCAAATTATACGCCGCTTGTCTGTTCATACCCTAGTCAGCGCGCTGTTGCAGCCTTTGCAGACTTCGGCGGCGCGTGGCAGGCGGGACAGCCTCTGTAGGTGCTCCCGGGCGCGGGGAAAAAATCCCTTCCGCCTCCTGCGCTGCTTACAGGACCGCTCCAACTTCTCCGTCGACCGTGGCTCTCGGACTCCGCTATCGGGTCGCCGAGGTCCCTGTTCGGGCGCCAATTTGTCGTGCCATTCGCCGAAACGGAGGGAAGAAGCAGTCGCTCAATATGAGTGATCAGCAAACTTCGTTTATTATCATGTGATTACACAACTTATAACAGTCTTAATTAGCTCATACATATTGCAAAAGCTAAGCTCCTTATTGGTTAATAGCGCAACGGTCAAGCTCCGTCTGGATACCCTGTTTTCGTGGATTCTCTGCATACTTTTGTGATTGCAGGTCCCTGTTTCATGACTTATTCTTGTCAACAAGGACAGTTCGTCCTTGTCCCTGATTAGCTCCTAAACTAGCTGTTTTCGATACTTTCTGGGATCCTGCTAAGTTATCATTTCTACATTAACGTGTCCTTGCTCTGCTAGCAATTCCTCCACAAATAACAATGCCTAAAGTGCAATGAAGTCACCAAAACAGAGTAGCTAAATGAGGTCTTGCTTTTATTTTTAATCCACAAGACAAGCTATAAGAATACAATAATTAAAGACAGGGCTACTGGCATCGATCATGCATTTTTGTCACTGGTGCGATTCAAAACAGGTAGCATCGTATCCATTTCTATTTCACACAAGTTCTAAACAGATAGTTAGTCTCTCTGCATATTTTACACTGTATTTTTAATAGTGTCAAAATTTCCTTCATAGTAATGAAGTATTCTGCCTCTGTGAAAGGACTTGCTAAAAGAAAATGGTAAGTGAGGCTGTAAAATGCACTTTTCTCTTCCTTCACAA